ATCCAATGCGGCCGCGTCTCGCCCAAGGACAAGTCTGTTTCGCGCAGCAGCAACAGCCCCGTGGTCGAGGCTGCCTCGATGGACGATCTCCGCCTTGCGACAGTCTACGCCGAGCCAGACGTGCCAACCTTCTTCAACATCGACACGTATTGCATCTCATGCGCATGCCACCTGAGAGTAGTGAAAGTACGCGCTGAATGCCACAGGAAAGAGAGATTTGTGCCACGAAATGTAGCAAGAAGAAGGGCATAGAGAAATACAGGTGATATCAGACAGTCACTCCAATTAGGTAGTAATCAAGTAGGTAACTCTAATATAATAGCTAACTCTAATATAGGTAAATCCAACTAGTACTACTAATTTATATAGGTGACTCTTTAACTACTAACTAACTACTATTCTACCCTACTATTCTACCCAATAATCTCTCCTATTCCTACTGTTGCATCCTCGTCTCGTAGACTGAATCTCTCTCTCTTTCTCCTATCCACCACTATCCCATCCTTGATCTCAATTCTGACAATGCTCTTCTCTCCCACTGGTGCAACTCGTCTCTTCCTCTTCCCCGTGTCCCAGATCCCAGTCACCTTCACCCCCACACTCACTCCATTCATGTGCATCACACCACTGTATCCAACTGTGACACATTTGCTACAGTCACCGTAGACCCCAATCACAGCCACAATTCTGTTTCTGCTGACGACTCTCTCAGCCAGTGCCCCGTCGACTATTCGCGACCCAACTGCTGCCTCCACTGCCCTGCTCAGACGAATCCGATAGACCCCACGAAGCAGAGACCCATCCGCCTCCTCGTCCTCCTCGTCTCGCACCTCTGAAACCACCACAACCTGCGTCCCACCCTGTGAGACCAGCGAATACTCCTCGTTGGTTCGAAGCACACCCGCCTCTATTTTTATAGCACAGCTCGTTCTGCTTCTCTCTACAACGAGGGCGTTAAGTTGGTTGGTGTAGTTACTGTTACCGTAGTTACTGTTGTTATTATTATCATTACTACCCTTATTATTGTTACTACCCTTATTACTATTACTACCCTTATTAGTATTACCACTAACACTACCATATTCTGTCAACTCTTCCAGTAGAGTCCTCTCTGATCCCTCTCTTCTTTTAACCAGGTTGTCTCCTCCCATTCCACTAACTGGTATCACGGTGTACTCCCCAAATAGGCCACCAATGAACTTACTCAATTTCCTGGTGATTTCAGCCAGTCTTCCACTCTCCCAGCCAACTTCATCCATTTTATTCACCAAAACAACGAGCTTCCCAACCGAAGATGACGCCCGAAGCAGCCTCAGGTGCTCTCGCGTCTGTCCACCACGGAAACCAGCCTCAAATTCACCAGATCGAGCAGAAACAACCAGAATTCCAACATCGGCCCGTGATGATCCATCGATCATTTCGCCAACGTAGTTTCGGTGACCAGGCGCATCGAGGACGTTGATTTTGACGGGGCTGCCTCCGCCAGCTGCCACCACGAAGCTGCAGAGACTCAGCTCCTGCGTCTTCCCCCTTGCTCGCTCCTCGGGATTCACGTCCATGCACCAGCTCAGGTACCAGCCGCCTCTGCTGCACTCTTCCGCCTCCTTTCGGTATTTGGCGATGATTCGCTCTTC